ACCCAACAACAGACAATGTTTACCTTGATCTTAACTACATATAATGAATACAGCACACAACAACAGACAATGTTTATCTTGATCTTAACTACATATAATGAATACAGCACACAACAACAGACAATGTTTACCTTGATCTTAACTACATATAATGAATACAGCACACAACAACAGACAATGTTTACCTTGATCTTAACTACATATAATGAATAGAGCACACAACAACAGACAATGTGTACCTTGATCTTAACTACATATAACAAATACAGCACACAACAACAGACAATGTTTACCTTGATCTTAACTACATATAATGAATACAGCACACAACAACAGACAATGTTTACCTCGATCTTAACTACATATAATGAATACAGCACACAACAACAGACAATGTTTACCTTGATTTTAACTACATATAATGAATACAACACCCAACAACAGACAATGTTTACCTCGATCTTAACTACATATAATGAATACAGCACACAACAACAGACAATGTTTACCTTGATCTTAACTACATATAACAAATACAACACCCAACAACAGACAATGTTTACCTTGATCTTAACTACATATAACAAATACAACACCCAACAACAGACAATGTTTACCTTGATTTTAACTACATATAATGAATACAACAGACAATGTTTACCTTGATTTTAACTGTTGTTAATCTCTCAGTTTCATCATAAAGTTACATTTTTTACCTTTTCATTCATGATCCCGTCCATAAGATTTTATTTGGAATTCAGGTACTGACCGGTTTCGACACGACATAGAGTCAATGATTGGACCACGCAGTAAGGCCTGGGGATTGTTCTGGTCAACAATGTGGAAGTATTTGACTCCTGCAACTCTTCTTGTGAGTGCTTTGTAGTAGTGTTAAACTTTCATGATCTAAAACAGTTCAGTGTTATTTAAACCTGAGGATTTTTGTGTTTTCCAAGAATCATTGGGCTCATGTCACATTTTTTTTACCAATATATAGCGTAAGATGTAAAAAAGTGAAAGGTTTAAAAATTTATTGATTAAAGTTTTTAAAGTCCTCTTTGTGTAAACCTACTTTCAACACTCGTATGCAAGACATACGGTATACTTAATGATGTAAGCCTAACTTTCCACTCGTACACAATATATAATATACAATTAATGATATAAGCCTACCTTTCCACTCGTACACAATATATAATGTATACCTAATGATGTAAGCCTAACTTTCCACTCGTACACAATATATAATATGCAATTAATGATGTAAGCCTACCTTTCCACTCGTACACAATATATAATGTATAATTAATGATTTAAGCCTAACTTTCTACTCGTACACAATATTTAATGTATACTTAATGATGTAAGCCTAACTTTCCACTCGTACACAATATATATAATATATAATTAATGATATAAGCCTAACTTTCCACTCGTACATAATATGTAATGTACAATTAATAACGTAAGCCTAACTTTCCACTCGTACACAATATATAATGTGTACTTAATGATGTAAGCCTACCTTTCCACTCGTACACAATATATAATATGTAATTAATGATATAAGCCTAACTTTCCACTCGTACATAATGTATAATGTACAATTAATAACGTAAGCTTACTTTTCCACTCGTATACAAGATATAGATATAATTAATAATGTAAGTCTACTTTTCTTCTTCTATACAAGATATAAGATGTCATTTTAGGTTGAGAATGTTAAAAAAGGAAACAAAATACAATTATCAAATGCCAGTGTTCGTTTTTAACGTTTAGTATTTGGATCTAAAGAAACGTTAGGATATTATTGATAGAATGTTTTTACAGTTTTAAATAGAATAACCACAATATGTTCTGTACAAATGCAATAACTTACATAACTTAGTTTGATTAATAAACATACCTTCGGAGTTCTTCACCAAATGTCTTATAGCTATATAATGTTCGAAACATTAGTTTTATCTAAACAAGTATATGTTCTGTTGTGTTAATTACTTAACAACAAGGTTTGCATTGGATACAAAAGACCATTTTATAACGTTTGTGATGACGACACTGAAGTCAAGGGTATTTATTGCTATCGAGAGTGGTTGTTGGGTTTGAACTTTTAATTTGAAACCATTAGTAACATACGTTAAGATAATATAATTTATAGAAAATCTCGAAGAAGAGTCTGCGGGGTTATCGGATGAAGCACATAAACCTCTACCCCCCGCAAGGCAAGGGGAGTTATGGAAGTAAAACCCCACAGTCACTATGATAGGTTAAATGCCGAAATTCTTGGGATTACCAGGTTTTTTAATGTTTTCTTGAAGTATATAATCAGAACAGTTTCCCCCCTGGAGTTTTAATTTTCTAATTAATGTTCCAGTTCCCCCTGGAGTTTTAATTTTCTAATTAATGTTCCAGTTCATCTTGTTTTTCAACTGGATTGACTACGAGCCGCTGAAGTCGGGTAACTACGTCTTTCCTGGATGGGCTAATGCTATAGGCTGGATCATTGCCTTCCAGTCGGTTGCTGTTATTGTTGGTGTTCTCGTCTGGAAGTTCGTTCGTCAATCAGAGGGTACAGTAAAAGAAGTGAGTCGGGATAGTTTATGGGTTGGATATCTTTCTTCCAGAAGTTTCTTATTTAATGTGTTATAATTTATAAGATTATGGGTTGGATATCTTTCTTCCAGAAGTTTCTTATTTAATGTGTTATAATTTATAAGATTATGGGTTGGATATCTTTCTTCCAGAAGTTTCTTATTTAATGTGTTATAATTTATAAGATTATGGGTTGGATATCTTTCTCCCAGAAATTTCTTAGTTAATGTGTAATAATATCTAGAAAAGTCTAGCAAGAAACACTTTTAAGACAAATTCATATTTACTGAAAAATTCTAACAAAACAAAATTTTACCATACCCCCCCCCCCCAGTAGCAACGCTAGAAACCAGATTTCGATACCCGTGGTAGGCAGAGCACAGATAGCCCACTGTGCTTAATTACAAACAAACAAGACCGTAATAATATTTCCACTGATAAAGGCGTATCAGTTTATTGTATTTTCATCTATAAAACAATTCAATAGAGAGACAACAGACCAGAAAGCATCTTCATTAATTATTATTTAACGTCTTTGTAGTACATGTAGTACAAGGCAACAGTAATAAGGTACATTAAAATATATGTATATATATAAATAACCTTCATCTTATCGCTTGTAAGTTTTAACATTAAATAACGACATCTAAGGGACAGTCTTGATATGCTTATTATATCATGTTCAATATATTTTTTATCTTATTTATAAATATGGTGTACAAAAACAATTTAACCAACACGTAGAGACAAGGACTGAATGTAAAGAACAACAATTGTGTGTATGATACTGAGGAGTGAGTCATGAATTGAATGTAACAACCCTGTGTGTGGTACTATCTGACTCACTCCTTAGATAGTACCATACACAGAGTTGTTACGTTCAATCCGTGACTCACTCCTTAGATAGTACCACACAGAGTTGTTACATTCAATTCACGACTCACTCCTCAGTATCATACACAGAGTTGTTACGTTCAATCCGTGACTCACTCCTTATTACATTCAATCCGCTCCTTAGATAGTACCACACACAGAGTTGGATAGTACCATACACAGAGTTGTTACATTCAATCCGTGACTCACTCCTTAGATAGTACCATACATAGAGTTGTTACAGTCATTCCGTGACTCACTCCTTAGATTGTACCACACACAGAGGTGTTACATTCAATACGTGACTCGCTCCTTAGATAGTACCATACACGGAGTTGTTACGTTCAATCCGTGACTCACTCCTTAGATAGTACCATACATTGAGTTGTTACGTTCAATCCGTGACTCAATAGTACCACACACAGAGTTGTTACATTCAATCCGTGACATAAGTAGTGAGTCACGGATTGAACGTAACAACTCTGTGTGTGGTACCATCTAAGGAGTGAGTCACGGATTGAACGTAACAAATGGTGCTATACACAGAGTTGTTACATTCAATCCGTGACTCACTCCTTAGATAGTACCATACACAGAGGTGTTACATTCAATCCGTGACTCACTCCTTAGATAGTACCACACACAGGGCTAAGGAGTGAGTCACGGATTGAATGTAACAACTCTTTGTGTGATTTCAACTATGGAGTCGGAATATTTATTTTATTTTTTCATGTTTTCTTGAAGCACAAACGAACTTGATAAAGTTGTGATGTTATTTGTCGACTAAAATATTACATGTTCATTTGAACAAACTTGATAACTTGAACATGACATTTCTGGTCTGTGACATGTTTTTCAGCGCTTCCTGAGTCTTCTGTCCCCTAGGGACGACTGGGGCCCTGCTATCGATCCAAAGCTGAAATCAGATGACTTGGGAGAAAACGGACTGACTGGTGAAATAAAACCCTTCCATAACTCCCACGTCAACGTTACGTACACATTTGAATCGTCTATATGAAAGAATAAGAATACGCTGAACTCAAGGAGAAATTAATAAAATAAAGTGTAAAAGTGAAGCAAGTTATATTTGATTTATGTAACTGGTTTCTGTATATATATTCATCAATTATAGTAACTTGTAAGAAATAACCTTCAGAATTCTTTGGAATGGAGAAATTGATAAAAATCACAATAATACGATGTATTAAGTTAAATATCAAGAAGTACAACAAACATATTTACGGTTTTCTAATACAATGTTTATTCTGTTTAACTTGTTTATTATATATTTACAATCTTTAGCTCATAGTCTTTTTGAACAATTTAAAAAAAAACACGTTTCGTGACTTCTCAAAATTCGAACCGAGGACATTTGTAGCAAAAAATGATTTTTCTTTAAATGTACTTATTATTGTCTGTTAGAGAAGAACGAAAGACACGTGGTTCTGTATATAAATTAAGATGTTTGGAGGAACATGAGAAAAGGGCTGAAGAGGAAGAAAGGTTTCTGAGCGCCCCTGGTTGTCTCTCAAGCCCCCTTCGGGGCTTAGTTAGTTAGTTAATAAGAGAAAAGTAATATTTGTTACCAAAAATTGGCCCTTCAATACTAAGTAAAATTACAGCTATAAAGTCGAAGTAGAAGTAACTGGAATTATTGATCACAGCCCCCCCCCCCCCATGTTGGAGAACAGTAAGTTTGCGGACTTACAACGTTAGAATCTGGGGTTTGATTCCCCGCGATAGACACAGCGGATAGCCCAAGTGGCTTTGCTCTAAAACAAACGAGCAACATTGAACAAATACCCGAAAATGTTAATGAAAAATAATTATATTTCTGACAATATGTTTCAGAAACTTTCACAAGTAAAATTTGTTGCAGCATAGTTTTAAACATCAAAATGTTAATTTGGAATACAAGACATTTTTTCCTCACAACTTTTCGAAATAATAGGTCATTTATTGTCAGGATTTTCAAGTGTGTATTTTTAAATAGTTTTTGTATATTGATTAAAGCGACCCCAAACATAAATACAAGGAGATATATTTATATGCACTGTTAAATATATGAAGGAAATATGGATATGTACCATATAACTTCTATAAGAATACTGAGGAGAAGTATATATAACATTACAGTTTTGTAAGGATACTGAGGAAAAGTACATATAACATTACAGTTCTGTAAGGATACTGAAGAGAAGTATATATAACATTACATTTTTTGTAAGGATACTGAAGAGAAGTATATATAACATTACAGTTCTGTAAGGATACTGAGG